ATAAACTAACCTGAATGAGTTTGATTCATGACTATTATGCTAAACTTTGTTACATTATGATTTCTAAAAATTGAGAGGTGAACTTTAATCTGAAGGAGAATATGGCCGATAGACACACAAACACAACACCTGTGTTTAAAATGAAATATTCTTATTGTGGTAATAATGAAAACAAGGAAAATAAATATAGAATTTGATGTTTTTTACAAACTTGCCACCAGTGTTGGTCAAGTTACTTGAAAATAGTAATTAGTTACTAATTACTGATTAGTTCTCCAAGAAAGTAATCCCATTACCTTACTGATTACTCATTTTCAAAAGTAATTAGTTACTTTATTAATTTTTAAAAACATGATACACAACCTGAGTACGTAATAAAGCAACAGACCTTTCAGCCCAATTCTTTTTCTTCTGCATAATCGATCATATAAAACTGACTCAAATGAAAAAGTCTCTTTTTAAAACTTGTTTAATGAGTTTTAATCTTTTAACTTATACATTAAGCAGGAGTGGGGCGGGTGCAGGTTTGCCCACAGCGGTCATGTCAGTGGGGGGGTCCGGGGGTTTCTCTGTGAATGTCACATTCCCGTGGCAGCGTGCTCGCTGCTCGCTCAGATTTGAAGTTGAATTTTTCGCTGTAGAAAGACGTTTTCTTCCCACGCAGAGCGCACAGTAATGTGATTACTTCCACTTAGTACTCTCTCCATCACTCCATGTTATCCATTGTTGATCTGCACAGGTCTGTCGCTGCCACGGACGTCGCACGCTCGCACGTCATTGTCACGAGACGCTCACAAACAAAACCACAGTTTAGTAACGCGGCGTGCTTACTGGATTTTTGCAATAGTAACCCCTTACTTTACTCTTTACTTGAAAAAAGTAATCAGATTACTTGTGTAACTGCCTCTCTCTGCTTGCCACCTCCAGTTTAGGGGAATCCTGGCAGTAAGGTGTGATACTGAAATCATTAGACATTTCACAGGAACACGAGAAACTATGACCGAACTATAAACAGTAATCAGAGGAATGAACATTTTGTCACCACCTGTGTCCTGAACGTTTTACCCAACTTTGAAGATTTGAGTATTTCAATAAACCTTGCAAAATACATTTTTTTTTGGCCTTTTAGCCTTTATTGGATAGGAACAGTGAAGACAGACAGGAGAGTGGGGAGGGAGAGGCGTGCAGCAAAGGGCCGCGGGTCGGACTCGACCTGCTGGGCGCCCGTGCTCACCCATGGAGCTAAACCAGCGCCCACAATTTACATCTTTAAAAAAGAAAAATGTATTCACCTGAACAGACTTTGATGTTTCAGTAATTTAGTGAGAGTTTTTTGTGCTAAAGAGTTTTATACTGAATAAACGAATAAACACAATAATGGTGAAGAAGATTAAGGATGCAACAGACGCCCGTCTTTATATAACATTAAATATCACAACTGTAAAACCAGAATGCAAACCACCAGGACAAGGACATCTTCATAATCATTCTGGCACGGGACACCAGCGCAGCGCATGTGCAATGATCATCTTTACAAAACAAATGAACTTTGCAGGTCTTCTTAATGATTTGGAAAAAAAAAGCCTGATGTTGTTTATGTTGACCGCAGGGTCGGGTCCCGATTTTCATCCTCAAAGCTCACTTATCAAATATCACGGGAAAATAAATCCCTTGGCGTCTGTTTGAATCATTATAGCATTTCCCATTCAAACAGGGCATGAAAATTACATTTAAATGAAAATATTAAAATCTTCCCATATTTGTGGAGCCACCTGTACTGTATGTAAATGCACTTAGCAAAGGGCTTTAGTTGTTGATGGTCTTAAAACTACATAATTTCAATGTATGGCAAAGATCCAGATGGAAATAAAAGTCAGAGGTGCATGAGAGCAGACGTGCTTTCACAATTTAAACGCGTTCAAACGTACAAAGCTAGCAAGGCTATACTCTAACATGAGTTATTTGAAATCATTGGTAGTATTTGACTTATTTTCTTTTATCGGAGAACGTATTTGTGCCTACCAAAAGAGCCCGCAGACTGACATCGCATGTGTGTGTTGTGCTTCATTACCCTATGCAAAAAACACGGCGGCCTGAGACAAAAGTCCATGAGCGTCGGCTCGAGATGAGAGAGGAAAGGCGCCGGCCTGTGCAGAGCCACTGCTGACACAACACGCTGTTTTTATAAAGCGATTACTGGGAAGAGACAGAAACTCGCAGACTGAACGTGAAAATGTAACAACAGCGTGATTTAAATTTTCCTCCTCTATGGCCAAACTGTAAATTTAGCACAGGTTGCGAAGCCGCCAATAACACGCCAACGAACACTGCAGCTGGACTAGTTCTCTGATTATTACATACGTGCCATGAATAAAGCGTTTCATCTGAAGGGGAAAGATAATGGCCATCATGTACAGATCCACGTGCTAAAAAATTACAGTTTTTAATAAGAAATTTATTGGACTGCTGTTTATGGCAACAAAGAGGAGAAAGTAAAGCGACTGGCCAAAGCACTAGTGCACAAAGTTATGTATTCTGTGTAATGAGGTAATAAGATCATTTTATTTTGTAGCTGAACACATGTGCTTCATAAATTACAGTTCCTGTGGAGGAGGTTTATTTGTGTGTGTGTGTGTGTGAGAGAGAGAGAGCGATACCAACCCTGTGCGCTTGGTGATGGTGCCCAGGGTCATGGGCTGTTTGATCTGAGCCAAAGGCAGCACCACAGTGAGGCTGGGCAGTGGGATGAGCCGCGGGTTCCCCATGTTGTTGTTGGTGAAATTGTTGTACGAATCCTGGCTGCTTAGTTTGGCTGGAAAACACACAGGAAAATGCGGGATTACTAAACGCGTTTGCAGCGAACAGACGTGCGCGTTCCCTTAACGGCGAGGCCAAGCAAATCTCCTATTCATGGATCTGAAGTGGAACATGAGTCAGTGCAGGTAATGGTAGCAGAACACTTGGAATCAACAACTTTACATGCATTATTCATCTGTTCAGCAGTTGGTTTTTCAGTTCAGCACTCTTTACAGATGCTAATTCTCAATATTGCTCACTTGGAATTAAATTTAAAATGTCATGTGACGTTCACATCAAATTGCACACTAGGCCACGAGAAGACATCGCCCTCCATCTTCCTCTCCCAGCCCGTAACACACGCAGAAACACACAACTCGGAGTTCAAGGCCTCCTGTGGAATGATTGGAAATAACTAGCTCAAGATGGTACATTACAAAGGCTCTGCTTCTAGTGCCTGGCAGTCTGTTAATCAAGGCCAATCAACAGGCCTAACGCACACGCGCACGCAAACACACCCACGCGGACAGACGATCCAGAGAAACACATCTCGTCTCACACACGCCGTGTAGCTGCAGCCAAACATAATCAGGCCATGTCAAAGGGCTTCTTCAAGGTCTAATGACCTTAACCAGCGACTTCAGGGAGAGCCGCAGCTAGTTCACTGACTCTTTCGCTTTAGCTCTTTAGCAGAGCAATTTTATATATAAGTCAAAAAGCAGGGTTTTTATTGGGTTACTAACATATTTATTGTTCTTCCCCTTATAAGAGTTATATTAACTACATCTTCTAAGGTGAAGAACAATGAGTCCCACTCGAGTGAGATGCTTTAGCGATTGTGAAAAGATGGTGAGAAGAAATGTTACATTGTTTCATTTAATCACCAGAAGCAAAACATGAATCTTTTCTTTCCTTTTGGTTTTATTTTCCCACCTTTGACAAACTCACCGGTCAGATTTAAGCCTACCCTGTTATATTTCAAACTGTAACGAAAACACTGATCAAATCAAACAAAAGAAATCGAAACTATCTGCATGCCAGTAACACCACCATTCGTTTTAGTGCTGCGAGTACGGGCGCCTATTAATACAATGAGAAAAGACACAATTACAAATAAACAGTTACAAATGAAACGCCAAACTATAGGGGTTTGGAAATGTGCATTACAATACAACTGTGTTTTGTAATCCTATGACAATACTGGAATAAAAATTTTTAAAAAAGCACCCTCCCGATTCAATAGGCAGCCCAAGGAAAATTCCAAGTTCAAGTGCTTTCAAAAGAAATAAAGAGCAAACCACAATACACTCTCTGAATGTTTTCCTTGTTCCATTTGTTGCCTTAATAGATGAGTGACAGTCACGTAACATAAAGGAATGAAAAGGAGGGAGGGGGGACACAGACGCAAAGAAAACAAGGCAGACATCAAAGGTTACAATAAAGGTAGAGAAGGAGAGTGCCTTGTCATTATTTGGAAGGAGCGATCAAGAGGAGGCTGAATGCAAGCGGAAAGGGGACCGCTGAGTGTTTTGGTCCAGTCTTTTAGATCATTAACGTGTAGCTCTGAGTTTCATTAGTGCTGCCAAAGCTCTGCTTTGTGGTCCTCCAAAGGCCTGTCTTTTAGACCTCTGCTGGCCAACAATGCCGCGTGACCTTCGCATGGGGAGAGCAGACCATTACGCAAACCTGCCCTTCATTTCCCTCTGCTCCTCTCTTGGTCAAACTGCCTACCCAGGCAACTCCTGAAAGCCATTCACATTTTACAAGTGCTACACACCCCCTGAACCTGGGAAGCACCTTTTGTGTTGAGGAAAGTAGGGCAGATGAGGGAGGAAAGAGAAAAAAAAGAATCTGTACAGGAAGCAGCCTGAAAAGCCATAATGGTGCTTCAGCTAAGAGGGGAGTTGAGCGGGAGGCTTGTGCGCGGGGGCGTCAGTGAATTTAGTATCCTCCGTGCACGCATGCCCCCCGATGGATTATTCGTCGTCAGCCGCAACCCTTAAAAATAAGGCGCACACACCGGGTTGTAGAACAGGTGTGGCTAAACTGAGAC